TCCAGTAACCTGGCGATCTCCGTTACGTCTTCAACCTAATTGAATCCTAATTCAATAATTTTTGAAAAACTTCCTGTTTATAAACCTTCTTTTAATGATCATAATCTTCTCTACCTTCCTTATATCTTGTTATAATCACATTCCTCAGCTGTTTTTTAAACGGAGTCCTATCTTTTGGTGAAAAGTTCATATAAAATTAAAACTCAAGCCATTAAGAGCTAAGTGATTTACTCTAAATAAACTATCGTTTTTTCCTACTAAAATTATTATTTTAAAAGCCATTATGTAGAATACAAAGATAAAGTTCTTTAAAAACTTGTCAAGAGTATTTCAATCAACAAATACCTGTTCTAACACTTTCTCCCAAATATATAATAAGAGAAACCTAAATTACTGGCTCTGCCCCAAACACAGATGATTCTTTTTATTACATGGGTCATACTGCCATGGTGAGCCTCAGCCACAAGGATACCCTGATGTCCAAGAGCACTGCCTACCTTGCTGGTTAGCAATTAGATGAGTGTCTGCTTGACAAGGAAAAAATTTCTATGTTTTACAATGTAATTTTGTGTATATTAGTTGTGATTTCTCTCACCTTAAAAACGAATGCCTTCCTTGACCCGACTTCCCCCTGTCATCTCCAACTCTATGCTGATGTTCCCATCTAAAATCAAAACTCTACAGAAAGAGTTGCCTAGACTTTTCTCTGATTCCTATCCTCCATTCTTAAAACACACTCTAATCAAACTTTTGACCTCATCATTCCACCAGAACTACTCTTGACAAGGTTATCAACGACCTTGTTAAATATGTCAATTCCCAGACTTCATCGTACTACACCTGTGAACAGCATTTGAAATAGCTGACTCTCTTCCTTGACAAACTTTTCTCCTTTGGCTTCCCAGACACGCAATTCTCTTGGTTTCCTTACCTCACTGATAAATCCTCCTTCTCTATTCTTCAATTTAATATCGAAGTGTCCTTGAGCTCAGGCCTTAGGCCTCTATATACATTCTCCTGTGTTGATCCTATCCTGGCTTTAAGTATTATCTTTACGTTAACAACTCTCAAATACATAGCTTTCAAAGTTCAGACTTGTATATCCAAGTATTTCCAATCGTACATCTAACAGATCTCTAAAACTCAAAATAGCTAAAACCTGAACTCTACCCTAAACCTGCCTCACCCACAAGCTATCAACTCAGCTGAATGCAAATCAATCATTATTTCAGTCAACAAACCTTGGAGTTAATTTGGACTATCTTTCTTTCATGTCTTCCATCCAATTCATCAGGAAATCCTAATGGCTCTACTTTTAAAATACATACAGGACCCAACCAGCTCCCAGCACTTCTACTGCTACCACCCTGATCCCCGATCTGAAGCACTACTCCCTCTTGCCTATACTGCTACAGCAGCTTCGTAACAAGTCTCTCTGCTTCCATCCTTATAGCTCTATAGTCTGTTCTCAGCAAAAATCCATTTTCTGGGTTATTAAAAAAGCTCTTTAAAATTCTTTGAGGGTGTACTATGTACCATCAGTCAGAATAATCCTTTTAAAATATGGCAGATCATGCCACATCTTTCCCCAAATCCGCAACCTTCTTTTCACTTAGGGTTAAAATCAAAGCTCTTACAATTACCCCAACAAACCCATTACCTCTATGATCTTATCTAACTATTCTCTTCCTTCAACCATTCCAGTCATAGTGGCTTCCTCATTGCTCCACAAACTTCAAGGCACCCTCTTGTCTTTTCACTGGCTGTTCCCTTCACCTGGAAGTTCTTCCTTGAAGACTTTGTTGTCTCCCCCATCTCCAAGTCTTTGTAAATGTTTAACCTCCTCAATGAAGCCTACTAGCTGACCCTATACAATTCTGAATATGGTTTCTTCCCTGGTCTCCATGAACTGTTTTTTCTTTTGTCCTTTGCAGTTATCACCTTCTATCTCTAAGATGTGCTTGTTTATAATGCTTATTATTTGTTTCCCTGGATGCCTTTTAAAATATAAACTCCCTGAGGCCTGAGAGCACTGTTTTGCTTGCTGAGGTATCCCAAGCACCTAGAACAAAGCCTGCCACATAAGAGATGTACAGTATATATTTACTGAGTGAATTTTACTCTCATTAATAATGACCATATGAGGAAGGTGTTATATATTCTCATCCTATTTTGTAGATGGAGAAGTTGTAAGAGTGGGGGCAGGGAGAGTAGAGAAGACTAAGTTTTTTATCCAAGATCATCATGCCATTGTCGAGTGGCAAAGATGGAACTTGAACCAGTATCTGTGAACTTTCCAAATACCAGAGCAGTAAATAATTTAACAAACCATTAAAAAAAAAAAAATTCTGACAATATATAGTTAAGCAAAATTCTTTTAACATTAAATATTATATTTATTTTTCACTATATCCTTTTTTAAATTTTTAAATTTTTTAAATATAGTTTATCATCAAATTGTTCACTATATTCTTATAAAAAAGTCTCTTAATTTAAAAATATTCAGTTTATTTTTCTTTAGTGCTGGACAAGTTGACCTGTATTAGGGCAGAAGAATCAAACTTTATGGGTGGCTTTAATATAAAATAATTCTATTCCGTCTAAATCACATTCTCTGAATTTTTAAGACCTTTTATTAAGTAGACAACAGACTCCTTTTTTCCTGATTGTGATTAAATTATCTGTTTATATTATTATATTTAGAAAAAGGTTTAATACAGGATATTTTCAGCTTAGAAGTGATAAACCTTTAAGAAACAGACTTGTACACGGAAGGGTTCTGTGATGATTAATTTCATGTGTTAAGTGGTTAGGCCACAATACTCAAATATTTGGTCAAACATTTTACATCTTTCTGGAAAGGTATTGTTTTGATAAGATTAACATTTAAATCAACAGACTTTGAGTAAAGCCAATTACCCTCAATAATGTGGTGAACCACATCTTTTTTTATTTTACTTTTTATTTTTGAGAGACAGAGCATGAGTGGGGGAGGGGCAGAGAGATGGAGACAGAGAAACTAAAGCAGGCTCCAGGCTCTGAGCTGTCAGCACAGACCCTGACACAGGGCTTGAACCCATGAACCGTGAGATCATGACCTGAGCTGAAGTTGGATGCTTAATTGATTGAGCCACCCAGGCACCCTGTGGTGAGCCATCGCTAATCAGCTGAAGGACTTACTAAAAACTGACCTTCCTTCAGCGAGAAGAATTCTGTCAGCAGACTATCTTTGGACCTGAACTGCAAGTCTCCCTTGAATCTCTAGTCGGTCAACCTACCCCATCAGATTTTGGACTCATCAAGTCTCCATAATCATGTGAGCCAATTCCTTAAAATAAACCTTTCTCTCTCTCCTTCTCTTTCTCTATAATCCTATTTGTACTATATCTCTGAAGAATTCTAATACAGGTTCACAAACAAAACTGCTTCTTTGTTCGAGTTATTAGTGCATTAAAAACATTAAGGAACCTATGGGTCAGACCAGTGTTAATTATCTAGTGTTTTCCTATCAATAAAATACTACAAGTGGTTGAAACAAACAAAAATCTGGGATACAACTGCCATTCTTGACCCTTGAGAGTCAGTATCTGCTTTATCACACAGTAAAAATATATCACATACTAATGATAATTCTAGAGTTGTAAGTTTTTTTCTTTTTGGCTCAAGGAATCTTTTGTTCAAAAGAAACCACTCTTAGAATCCACCAATGCTAAAGTCATTAAAGAAGAGGTAGTTTGATATAAACAAGGTTAGGAAATTTTTCTACCCCTCCTCCTAAAAAAATGAGAAGTCTCTGAGGGAAGCTGAGGTACCATGAGGTGCTACAGAACCAAGTCTGAAAACTCATCGAACTGCTTTATCCCTGTGTTCCTACCACCAGCATCCATTTTACAGAAATAGAGATTAAATGATTTGGCCAAGCCTGCTAAATTAGTTGGTAGCCAAACTAAGGCCTTCTAACTTTGTCCTTTATTATATTTACTATAGATGAAAATGTTTTAAAAATTAAAAGCTATCTTTGTCCAGTGTGCAAAATACAATGTGGCAGGTTATCAGGATAAAAACAAAAAAAGCCCACAATAGAACCTTGTAGTAGGGATCATATTGGCACATCTGCTTCTCTGCCATCACCCCTACTGAGTTAATCACTCCTATGAGAATAGGAAGAAGATGAGCCTTTATGTGCTTGTAATATTGGCTCTACATTAATGATGTAAGTAGATTCTGTCCAGCACTAACAGAGCAGCAAATTAGAACACTGAGATATAAACTAAATTATAATGATTTATTTCCAGAAAACACATTTGGTAAAAACTGCCCTTGAAAAAGGGACATAAAAATGTTTCTATGCAACTTGCTAAGAATGACATTTTTACTTTGAAACAGAAATATAAGCAATTCAATGAGATGAATGGACAAACAGGATTATTTTCTCCCTTTACTGACAGAGCAGTAAACATTATATGGCTTATTCAAAGTCACACAGAAAAATGACAGTGTCAAGATCTCATCTAAGGTTCTACCTCTAATCTATTAGAGCGTGAATTCTAGACGGGCAGACACCCACTCTCTCAAGTTCCCTGTTGCCAGCACGTGGCACAGCACCACAGGCATCACTGGGGCTGAGGCTTCTATCAGTGCACATGTTCTGAGCAAGCAGCAGGAGAACTGATGTATTTAACGAAGAGGCAAAATGGTAACTGGGTAGCATCTCCCTCTCAGATTACAAACAAGGCTAAAGTGTAATGAAGACTGAAAACAAAAGAGTTACAACAAAATGCTTAAGCGAGGACTACAAGTCAATAGCACAGACTGATGCTGCCAATCTTGAAGACGACTATCTCCACTTTAACCTGCCCACTACTTGAAGAATTGCAGTAGTCGGCATCACCCAGTCCCATTTCCCATCACTGACTTTTACATTCCTGATCACAAATCTTGAGGAACTCCCTATTAAAAAACTTGGAGCTTCTCCCACAAGTGATCAGAATCATACTAACCTCTGTCAGTTGTTTCAGTTGGGCTTTGTTTTCACTCAATTCTTCTGATAGGTCATTCTTTTTCACTCGTAGTTCAGAGATTTCCTTTCTTAATGGATTTGCTAGTTCATAGAACCGAATCTTTAAAAGCAAAAAGTCAAATTAATAAACCATTTTAGAATCTAAGTTACAATTAAAATTAGCTCAATTATCAGTAACAAAATATTAAGGTATCAAAAAGAAAAGTGTTAAAAGTTTCAGATGATATACCTGTACAATAAACTTTTGTTTGTACAAAACAGTAACAAGACCGTTGTTAACTGACCTTGACCACTAATATTTTATTAAGCCTTAATGTTCAATTCAGTTTCCTCAAGGCTCAGATTATCTATAATTCTCCATCCCTGCCACAATCTCTCTTTCTTCTATCTATACTCCATTTACTACTTACTCTTCATTTCCCACCACTGCACATTCCACACTGCTTATTACTTCCTGAACACATTACCTGTTCAAGTTTTGCCCTATTTCCTCTGATAGAGGAATTCTTTCCACACACAAATGCATGGCTCATGCTTTCACTCCTTTCAGGTCTCTGATCAAATATTACTCTATCATTAAGTCCTCCCTAATCCCCCTAACCTGATTTAAAATAGTATCCCCACTTGGTAACAGCTCCTATTCTCACAGCTGCTCTTTTCTCCATAGCATTTATGACAGAGATTCTACATATCACTTTTAACTTATCATCTGCAGTGCTCCACTCGAATGTAAGCTCACATAGGCAGGAATTTTTGCCTGGTTGGTACTCTGCTCTCTCTCTATTGCCTAAACATATGGTAAGCCTACATCCTAGGCTCCTGGTGAAGCTCTACAACTACCGCTGCAGTGTAAGGGATAATCAGGATGAATCAGGAGGTATCTTTCCTATCACTACTTCTATTCAGTTCAGACTTCTCTTCTCACTCATAATTCTCTCAGGGGAATTTGACCTAATCTCGTAAAGCATTCCATTTGACAAATTCCTATTAAGTTAAGAAGCCATGAGCACATTAGGAAAGGGTAATTAGGCCTATTTATTATACAGGCATGCATTCTGAAATTCCTTAATATATTGCTGTATTGCAAGAGTGCCATGTCTGGTAAGAGGCAAGTCCTAAAGTTAGTCCTCAGCACAATGAATTTGTGTACAACTAAATAGTTAGGATAATAACCATCTGTGAAAACAAAAGATAACAAAGAACATTAACAAACCAGGGAACAAAACTATGTATAACTGCATTAGTGGGATACTTGGTACCTACTATGGATACAGCCCCAAGGACAGTGCTTGAGACATGTCTTGGATAGCACGCTTTGGACAGAAAAAAAATTTATTTGAGCTATTTAAATTAAAAGGTAGACAAAAAGATAATGAAGGTAATTTCTTTTTATAGAAATCATTAATCCTGAAATCTCATGCAAATAATAACCAAGAGCAGCAATCACCACTCCTGCAAAAATGATATTACGCTCTAAGTACCGTTCTAAGCATTTTACATACATATTCACAGTGAATCTTCACAATTACCTCAACAGAAAGGCACTATTATTACTATAAACACTTCTACATATGAAAAAGTTCAAGCCTCTCAAGGTGAAATTGCACGTATTGATCACAAACCAGAAGTTTTCACTGTGTGGTTTGGGAACCACTGGTAACCACTCTGCCACTCTGAGACCCTTTCAGGGAATTCATAAGAAGGAAACTAATTTTCCTTGTCATACTAAGATTTTTTTGGCCTATTTTACTCTTATTCTGTTATGCTTGTTCAGTGGTGGTTGCCAGTGGCTATCTGATGTATGAGGAGATCATTGCCTTTAAGGCTAATGGAATGTGTGCTTATGTATTCCTGTATTTTAAAAATGTCTCGGTATTAATTTCCACTACGGTAAACACTAACAGATATAACCCATATAAACAAAAGCTCCTTGGGGTCTTCAGTAATTTTGAGAGTGTAAAAGGATATTGACATTCAAAATTTTGAGACTACTGCCATAGATGAATCCTAGGTGTAGATCTGTGTAAGCAACGCCACAAGAGATCTGCACCATCCCGACCCCCTGGCAGCCACTCATCTGTTAGGTCTGTAATCTCGCATTTCGAGAACATTATAAACTACTAGTTGATGATAAAATGATTCATTTCCATGGATTATGCAGCCATTAACTTCATACCCTTATTTATTCTTGACCTTGGAGATCAAGGGTCAACACCCTTTAAAATCTGATGATCTGAACATCATCCACCATTTTCAGAGCAGGGCCATAAAACAGTAAAATTATTAATTGGGTACTTTGAAGCTTATGGCTATTACATAAATGGCAAAGTTTAATTTGAAAATATATGCAGTGTTTTTTTGGGGCACCTGGGTGGCTCAGTGGGTTAAGCCTCCGACTTTGGCTCAGGTCATGATCTCACAGTCTATGAATTTGAGCCCCGCCTTAGGCTCTGTGCTGACAGCTTGGAGCCTGGAGCCTGCTTCAGATTCTCTGTCTCCCTCTTTCTCTGCCCCTCTACTGCTCACACTCTGTCTCTTGCTTTTTCTCTCAAAAATAAACATTAAAAATTTTTTAAAAATATATATGCAGTTTTTTTAAAAAAAATAAGTGATACAACACACTTACAGATACATATTCAGGAATAGAAAGCTGATCTTCAGGAAAACCTTTTAGTTTCATGTATTGCTCTTCTGTCAACTCAAAGTCACGCAGGTTTCGACGAATATCTCCTGCCTTCTCCCTTAGCTGAGTATTTGTCTCTTCTAGTTGTTTCTGTCTCAATAAAATCGTTTCCATTTCTTGTTTCATTAGTTCTTGATATTTTCTAAACAGGAAAAAGTTTATGACAAGCTTAAAAAAATCTTTGAAATTTTATCTTCTCAAGGATACCTTTTTATAGTAACATAAAATTAAGAAATGAGAAGCTCTGTAGTATTTTTGGCTCTAGCAAAATGCTTATTTACTTCACTAGTAAATGACAATTCTATACTCATTACTAAATACATGGCTACATAAGTTGCTAAATAGAAAACTGATATTCTTAAAAATTATTTTCAAAATTCAGATTATAAAATTATACATTTACTCTGCTTAAAGTTTAAGTTTTATACATCTGTTTTGGACTGTACTCAATAAAATAATTTTCATTTCTTTTTTTCCAGGTACTCTAAAGTATACCTCTTAAATATGGAACACTGAACCACCATAAAGTATTCTTTCAACCGATGAACTAATGAAAATAGTAACCTGTACATAATCATTCTCAAAGAATACATGTATAAGACATTGCTATCAATAGTTGCCTATTTTGAAGATTTTGAGCAGGAAGGGACAATTGATTCTTTCCCCTCCCTACTGTATCATACCCATCAACATACACACATGCTGTATTATTACTCCTATCCTTAAAAAAATGAATAGAGACCTCATTTCACTGCGTCCTTTGTTTGCTCCTCAATGGAGTAAAACGTCACAAGTTGTCTATACTCCCTGTCTGTGATGCCCTTCCTCTTGAACCCATGCCAATTAGGTTTTCATCCTTCCTACTGAACCCATGCCAGTTAGGTTTTTATCCTTCCTAATGACATCCAGATTGCTAATGATCAATGGCCAGTTTTTTTCATCTGTGACCTAATGATTATTTGACACACTGCTCTCTCCTTTATATACACTTTCTTCATCTGGCTTCCAAGTCACTTGTGTCATTTTTCTCTCAGTGGTGTTTGCTCCTTCTCCTTTTCTGGCTTGTCTTAATGTTTGGAGTACTTGACTCTCTTCTCTGTCTACATCCACTACCTTAGGGAATTCATCCAGTCTTATGACTGTGTACCATCTATACCCTAATGACTTCCACATATATAGCTGTGGACCACACTCTTCATTTACCTACACATGGACTTCTAATAAGACGATGCTAACTGAACACGTCCCAAACTGAACTCTTGCTGTTCACTCACAAACCTATTCCACTGTGGTTTCTCCAACTTAGTTGACAGCAACTCCAGCCTTTCATTTATTCAAACCAAAATGCTGGCACAATCCTTAACTCCTTTTTTTGCCCCCTTAGCCACATGTAATTCATTAGGACATCCTATCAACTCTACCTTCAAGATATTTAAAAATCTAAGCACTGTTACCAACATTAGGAGCAAGAGGATTATTGCAACAGCCTCTCAACTGTCCTCTCAGCATCATTTAATCTGAAAGATGCCTCAAGAATATGAGTAGAAGCCCTACCATTGAATGCAGTGGTTCCCAAAGTATTGTCCCCAGACCAGCAGCATCAGTATCACCCAAGAACTTGATAGAAATAGATTCTCAGGGCTCACCCAAATCAGAACATCAAAGGGTGGGACCTAACAATCCTTTTTAACAAGTCCTCTACATGGTTCTGATGCATACTAAAGTTTCAGAACCACTGTTCTAAAGTGGTACTGCCTAGTAACTGGTCAGATTTTTTTAAAATATCAGTTAAATAATGAAATCTTTTAATTTTTTTTAGTGTTTATTTTTGAGAGAGAAAGTGAGAGAGAGGAAGCGAGGGAGGGGCAGAGAGAGGGAGACACAGAATCAAAGCAAGCTTCAGGGTCTGAGCTGTCAGCACAGAGCCCGACATGGGGCTCCAACTCAAAAACTGTGAGATCATGAGATCATGACCTGCCCGAAGTCAGACGCTTAACCGACTGAGCCATCCAGGCAACCAATAATGAAATCTTAAAGAGAGAAATGATAAGTACTTTACATATTAACTTCTTTTTTAAAAATTTTATTTAAATAATCTCTACACCCAAGGTGGGGCTCAAACTCATAACCCCGAGATCGAGAGTCGCATGCTCTTACGACTACCAGGTGCCCCTATACTGGTAGGGGCTAATTAAAATTACTAATTAAAACACAGAAAGCAGCATTTAATTGCTAAATTTTCTACATTTGGCTCAGATACTTAAAATATAAAGGTATGCTTTGTTTTTGTGAAAGTCATTGTTCATAATTGCCAAGTTCAATTTCTTTACCTTAAAAGACACTTGGTAAGAAATCTGAGAGGATGCTTTTTATGGATTTGTTTGATTTTTGCTCCCAGCTTTTAAATCTGTCTTGCTTTTATTTAATTTGATGATTATTTGTTTAAATTACTCACTTTTATTAAATTGTTCCAGAGAATTCCTTATACTTTACATAGAAACAGCATACTCTTTCATTGGTTACATAATTCTTAATTAAATTATGTAAGTGTAGTAAGTACAACCATCACAGGCCTATTTGACAGTGAACACAATGGACTCCTGGTAAGTACACAACTGAGCTGGGAGAAAGTATGGAGGTAAAACAGAGGATAATTTAAACTTGCAGAGTTAACTGGGCCACAAGAATTAGTGTGTTTCACAGAGTAAATGAAGATAGGTTAATCCAGAAAGCAGCTTAAGTGGTGCCGAGTTTCGATAACTTCCATTGTCATTTATGGCTCACTTATATCAGCACAGTTTGCTGAGTGAAATGTTGAATTTTGACTTTTTGTATTTTGTGTATTGTATCAAGCAAACTACTTTTCTGTTGGGTTGGATATAAAAATTATTACCATCACTGATTTAAAATTTCTTTATTTTAGCTTGCAATCACATGAAGAACAGGTAGTGAAATCACTTTTAATGGCTAACTAGGTATTGCTGCTGTTTTAAAAACTTTCTTACCTGGCATCCTTCTGTTGAAAAGTCAATTGATTGTCTAATCTCAATGTCAGTAGCTGCTTCTGGTGAAGTGCATCGTTGAGTTTCTCCTCTAATTCTTCAATCTTAATAAAGAGAAAGAGGTAAATTACATGGTCAACTTTCAAATTTATCATTAAAAAAGGTTTGAAAAATACTAAACGTAAAGAAAAAAAGGAACAGGCTAAAAATGAATAGAGGTTCCTTTGCAATAGTTGTATCATCCAATTACAGTCTGTTCATACAAACAGTTTTGGAACTGTTTAAATTGATTTTTGCCAGGCTGTCATATAGCTCTACTAGTTTATTGAGGTCACTGGCTTGAGCCTCTGGGAAAGCTCTTAAAACGGACTGCATCCTTTGGCATGTGCCCCATTTTCCTATTACTCTTCTCACTTCTGCCTGAAACACAGATGCAGTACTGGAGGTAGATCAGGCATCTGTGACTCTGAGGTGAAAAGTACATGCTTAAAACAGCTGCACAGAAGGTTAAAAGGAGCTTGGGTTCCTAACAATATCAAGGAGTAACCATACGAAGCCTAAACTATCTTTTCCGATTCCTGTTAAAGCAGAGAAACAAAATCCTTATCCCGTGTAAGCTACTGTTTGCACAATTCTGCTACAGGCAGACACCATTTTCTAAATCTCTGGTACTAACAGCTGAACTTAATCCTTAAAACACTGGACAGCTGGTTCAACCTTTCTTCCACAGCAGAAATACCTATATCATGACATCTGACCATTCAGGACTACCTGAATGCTGCCAGTGACAGGAAGCTCAGTAACTTAAATCAGGCCATTTAAATGTTAATCGTAAGAACGGGTTTATAGTTAGCAGAAATCTGCCTCTTCTGTAACTTCTATTATCAGGGAGTGATAGTCTGATGAGGGAAATTTTTTGTAATGCTAGATAATGAGATTTTCATCTCTGTAACCCCAATGCTCAATGCATTGGTAAGCTTCGGAGAATGAGCAAATGGCTAAAAATTCTGTTCCTTCAGACTCTTACTTCTTCACATCTCTGAAATTGGAATGCATCTTAAAATCTATAGCACGCAACAATTCAACTTGGCAGTTTTTAATCTCAGTGATACAAGAAAGGGTCCACTTTACAGTCAAGCTGCCTTGAATCTGATGAATTACGGAAGCCTAATTCTTCTACTGTAGAGTATTTCTCCAGATACTTGACAGCAGCCATCTTACTCCCAAAGGGTCTCTAAGCAAAACAACACTAGTGCTCATGGACGAAAAAGCATGGAGATGTAGATAGGCAGCTTTCTGGAGAGTAATTCAACAGTACACTCAGTTTTATTAAGTGTACATATACCCTGTGAGCCAGAAATGCCACTCCTGAGTACACATGCCAAAGAAATGTTCACTCAGGTCCAGAAGAAACAGGTCTATAGAAGGCCAATGTTGCATGTGGTGGCAGAGCTGGGAGGCAATCTAGGTGCCTAACACTGTGGTAGCGGATAGATAGATTGGTAGACACTCACACACAATTATGGTGAAGTTAGAAGCAGAAGATGAGATATGCCACAGTAACATTTATGATTTCAAAAACAGCACTGAGCTGGGGGGAAAAAACTATAAAACAGATAAACTCTAAAACAAAACATGCAATTTACATTTCTGTAAAGGAAAAAATAAGAAAAATACCCATTTTCAAGAACAAATGTTTAAAAAAAACATTAAAGCTTGAACAGAGAAGGGAAATGAGCCATGGGAATAAAAAAATATACAAAATAAAAAGTGGCCTGGGGGGACCCCTGAGTGACTGTCTGTTAAGCATCCGACTCTTGACTTTGGCTCAGGTCCTGATCTCACAGTGCATGGGCTCAAGCTCCATGTGAGGCTCTATGCTGACGGTGTGCTGACTGAATGAATCCCTGCTTGAGATTCACTCTCTCCCCTCTCTGTCACTCTGCGCGTGCATGTGCTCGCTCGTTTGTGCGCGCTCTCTCTCTCAAAATAAATAAATAAACATTAAAAAAAATAAAATGGCCTTGGCAAGGATCAATGATGATCGGGTGTCACAAACTGAGAAATCTGACTAATCCGGTCTTCTCCATGTGCGGTCCAACTAGAAATATCACCAATGAAAACTGTAGTAAGCACCACATGGTACAAAAATAATAAGGTGCTGGATAAGTGTAGTGGCTATTACTATTTATTTTACTGCAGGCATCTATGAGTTTATGTATGTTGATTAGCTGAATCTTCGCAACAGCTCCATGAAGTAAATACTATTATTATTCTTATTTTACAGCAAATAGAATAACAAAGTTAAAAGATTTGCCCAAGGTGACTATTGGGGCTGAAATTCAAACCCAAACTGTGTGTATCTAGAACCGGAGCTCTCTCTGCTTACACTACAGAGCCCCTAACGAATAAGCCACCATTTCTAAAATATAAACCTCATACTTCAAAAAGGAGAGAAGCCATTTACAACCAAATACAATGCAAGTTGAAAACAAAAACAGTAACCTGACAAAATGTAAATTTGTATACTACATACTTGACACTTAATAAACTATTTGCTGCCTGAGTGAGTGGATTAATGAATGAGAGATTGTCTTAGCCTTCTTCAAGGAGCTGCATTTATGGAGACTTTAAGGGACAGAGATACATGGGCCAGCAGCATTGTGGGATCCACTTTGCCATATAGCTGCTATGGACTCCCATAACAGCAACATGAGTAAGACAACAGAAATAGGAAAACCACTGGAAACATCGGTAAAGTACCAACGGGCCTGGTCTAGACCAAGTCGCCTAAGTAGGTGACTGTAAGGAGATTCACTAGGGGGAGTATGGCTTTGGATCTCTTGGTCTGAATCCTAAGTGGCTCCATCACTTTCATCTAAATGGCCTTCATATGCTATTAACCACTTGTGATTCTGTTTTATCAAAAGTGAAATGGGGTTCAGTCCCTCATTTAAAGAACAGTTGCTCACTTATGACGTGTCAGGAACTGTTCTAAGTGCTGGAGATAATGAGATACAAGACTACAAAGAAACCCCTGTTCTCACGAACCTTACAGTCTATTAAAAGGAACAAATACCAAAACAAAGTGAGGTAGTTCCTATGAACACATATATAAGGCATAGAAAATAAAATGGGTAAAAAATGAGGACATTATTTTAGTAGACAACAGCAACAGTGACTAACATGGTGTGCTTTTACCAATTATCAGTAAGTGGACTAATTCGTTATATTGATTCATTTAATACTAAGGGGCAGGGAAGATCCCCCTACAAGCACTGACACCTCAAGGAGTTGCTGTGAGGTTTAAATGAGAGAACACATGAAAAGCTCCCAGACCAGGGTATGGCACAGAATGAGCACTCAATAATCGTCAGCCATTAATATTTTTTTTAAATGGACCTAAATTACTTCTTTACTTCATTAAGACCTTGGGGGCTTAGGACACTTCATTTTCCTAGGGAGGCATGGTTAGCAATTTTCTCTAGCAGCAAGGCACTGAAGTACGATGGTGTAACCGGCAAGAGCTAAAACAGGAGGCTGACTTAACCGGAGAGAAAGTGTAAGCGCAACAACAAAGTGGATGCACGTAGGAAGAGGTGGGATCGAGAGTAAAAGTGGAGAATCTACTATTGGAAGCAAAAGATTTTTCTCAGAGACAGAAGTAGTTAAGAGTTAAGAAGTGTCTCCTATCTTCCTGAAATCACTATACATTTCTTAGAACTAGTGCCAGTTTTTTACCAGGTCTTACATAAAACACTCCATAACTAGAAATAAACACACAAGGGGGGGAAAGGGACTAGGATGTCCCTTCTTATTTGGCAAAAACCACTAAAATTTTTTTTTAATGTTTATTTATTTTTGAGAGAGAAACACAGAGTGCCAGCGGGGGAGGGGCAGAGAGAGACAGAGAGACAGAGAGACACAGAATCTGAAGCAGGCTCCAGGCTCCCAGATGTCAGCGCAGAGCCCGATGCGGGGCTAGAACCCACGGACCGTGAGATCATGACATGAGCCGAAGTTGAAGTTGAACGTTTAACTGACTGGGCTACCCAACTGCCCCAGAAACCACTTGTTAAACACTATGGTAACTGAATTTACAGTTGGTACTAGGACACAGTAACTATCCAACAGAAACATATCAAAGAAACCAAATCCCCAGGCAGAGGACTATAGAAACTTATCAATAACATAATTATGATCGTCCTCATCAGACTAGTCACATCAGGGTTAATTCTCAATGAAGCAGAAAACAACTTGGCTAAGAAAAAAAAAAAAACATCTAAAAAGATGTACCTCATACAAGCTAGGTTTAAAAATTTGAGTCTACAGAGGCAATTCATCCCTGCCCACTTCAAATCATCCCCTCTTTCAGGACTTTTTATTCAGTACACAGAAGTATAATTCACACCCTCTCTCCTTCCAGAAAGTTTATTCTAACTATGCAAGAAAATATAACTTACTTCTTTCAATGATAAGCGTATCAAGTTCAGATTACACATACATAATTTTAATTATTTACCTGCAGTCTGAGGACAATAAAGCATACAGGTAACAAAGATTACACCGAATCTTACCTTTGTAAGATAATCCACTTTCAAGTTGTCTATCATCATATTTTTCTGGGATAGCTCTATTTTCAGTAACTGAATGTTATGAAGTAGTTCTTTACGTTCAATTAGTTGCTGGGTGATTTTAATTTTACCATCTCGCTCTTCTGATGATGAAATATCATCCGTGGGAACTGTTGTTTCTAGACTAATATCTTCAGACTCCAGAGAGCTAGAAATGTTCACTTTTTTTGATGCCTTGGCAATTTTTCGAGACATCTTTATTGATGGGTCAGTTTTCCTCTCTAGTTCTATTTCAGTTCTCTGTGGATTAAAAATATTTATTTAAATATACTCAAACATTCTCAATGGAAAGAATAAAGTGTACTAAAGAGACGCTAAGGATTGCCCAAGTTAATTATTAAGACAATCTAGAGGACCCCACATCTAGGACAAATTAGTAAACTATGCCTCAAATCAAACATTAAATTAAGCTCATGAAGACCTACTATAAATTTGCCCTTGATGAATAAAAAACCCTGTTCCTGGGGGCAGGAATCTTACTGGGAGGAAACAAAGAAATCTTCCACGGAAAGGATAAAAGCCCTAAGTGAGAAGTACCCAGGAACGCTACTAATAAAACAAGCACGCATTTAAGATGAGATTAGTCACTTCTGAGTTGATCAGGGGAAGAAAGTTAGGCCAAAGTAGGGACAAAGCATGCAAGAATTAAGGTTGGTATAGAGGTGGCGAAAATACCCGACAGCAGAAGATAGTGGTCGTCCGGCTGGGCCAAGTCTTTGTGAATTTGAGTAGGACTCACCCCACCACTCATACACATACACAAACACACATACACCCTTAATAATCGAGATGGCAGAGAGCCTCAAGTGTCAAAATGTGTCCGAAAGTTACTCCGCAGGCAATCAGGCAGCACCGAAGATTTTAAAAATGGGAAAACAGTGAAATAAAGACGTTTAAATAGACTTCCAGATAGAATGGAAACAAGAAGGTAGAAATGAAAAATTCAAGTACTCTAAATCGAATTTCTGAACCTTTCACAAGAATTTTAGAAATTCTCATGTTTTAACACTACGCGACCTACGTTATTTACGGTACTGCAGATGTCAGCTTCCCTAGACTGAACGATGAGAAAGATGTATGGAGAGGAAACGGCACCCCTCCTTTCAACGAGAAAACAGGTAAAGAATGGTGAAATCAGAGAGAAGCCAACATCTGGGATACAAAGGACCAGGGCCCGGGACTGCCCACAACACGTGCGGCAGTGAAGAAAAACCAAACTTGGCAGCGGAGGATCCCTTGCCCCGCGCGGGAAAGGAAGGGACAGCGGCGTGCTACCTCGAAAGCCTCAAATTACTCCACGTCGAAGGCTGGAGCAGCCACCCACCACCTCCACCTCAAGGACCTGCAAGCGTCTCCGAACAGAAGCTCAGGTTGCAGCCCCTCAACAAGGAATCCCAGACTGGGAACCGTTAGGGCCCGTAACCAAGACAACCACTTCCGTGCCCGGAGGAGGAAGGAGGAAGCGGCGTCGCCCACGACGCCGGAACTCAACCTGGATCCACCCCGACGCGAGGAGCAACGCATGCTGGGAGCTGTGGTCCATAGGCGGGTCCCGCCTAGATCGGTGGATGGAAATGGCTCCAGGATCTGCCAATCCTGCCGAGCTTCTCGTTTTTGCCCAATCCTCGCAGCTCTCAGAGAGCCAACCAATGTCAGCCTTGACGATTTCCCGCGAGAGGTATTTACTAACACCCTGGAGCGGGAAGCGGTGAACTTCGGGGTAAGGTATAGTCGTGCGGCAGGGCTTTTGCTTGTTACTTTTCACCGGAAGAGCGCGTTAGGGATTCCGCGCAGCAAGCAAGATGCTCAAGTCCAAGACTTTCTTAAAAAAGACGAGGGCGGGCGGCGTGATGAAGATCGTGCGCGAGCATTACTTGCGGGACGACATCGGCTGCGGCGCGCCCGGTTGTGCGGCCTGCGGCGGTGCCCACGAGGGGCCGGTCCTCGAGCCGCAGCCCCTGGATCCGGCGAGCAGTCTGTGCCCCCGGCCGCACTACTTGCTTCCTGACACCAACGTGCTGTTGCATCAGGTGCGTCCGAGGGCGGGAGATCCGGGATCGTTTCAGCACCACCAGGAGAAGGGGGTGTGACAGAATAGGGAAATTAAGGCCCAAGGAGGCGTGTCTTGGACAATATTACGTACTTAGGGAGAGGCAGACCCTTGCCTCCTGTCCCCCAGGCTAAGCAAGGTTCTTTTCTTTGTATTATGGGTTTTTGCGGGTTTTTTTTTCTTTTTTTGAGTTCTTGGAGTCATAAGAATTTTAGGTTATTTTTCTAACTCCTGGTGTCTCTTCTACCTTAGATTTTAAGTGTCTGGAGGCCGGGGACCTGGGCTTCTGTGGCCTCCAGCCTGCGACTCCCAGGCAGCTTGTAAGTGCCTACGAATGAAAGCCATGTGGGCCAACGTATTTATTTAATAATGGACTTAATTCTATGAAGTTTTATATTTAGTCTGCTTATGTGTATTATTCTCTAATAGACCTGAAGGGTTTTCTGTAGCAAAATAGCTCCTTAGTTAATGTGTATTTAGTGTGTGTTTTCTTAAATTAATAGAGTTTTAGGTTTGGCAGAAGCAACTTCTTAGTGAAGACAGGAAAATTTGGCTTTACATATTTTTTTTTATTCTTTTAAGATCGATGTTCTTGAGGACCCAGCCATCAGGAATGTAATTGTACTGCAAACAGTTCTGCAAGAAGTGAGAAATCGGAGTGCTCCTGTGTATAAACGAATCCGAGATGTGACTAATAACCAGGAGAAGCATTTCTATACGTTCACCAATGAGCACCATAGGTAGGGGAAATTTTTACGTTAATTACCGGAAAACTATACAATTAGCTAAATTGGGGAAAGTGTTTTCTGGCAGTAATCGTGACATTGTCAGAAGACGTGGTAAGTTTAATACTCATGGGAGTGTTATTTGGTTGTTACACAACTGTACAGACATAATGCTCAGTGGACCTCACTGAGTACAGACATAATTATTGATTAGCTCAAACCTAGAAGCAAGGTCTCTGGATGCCTAGGCTACTGTCCGTATTTTGTTTCCAAAATGTTTTCATTTTGAATTGGTTTTAGCATGAGTTGAGCAATAAGAATCTTGGAAGATGAGATTTCCCTAGGTTCCTAGAATACCACATCATTTGATAATCAACATAGATTGAGAAAATGTAAGTGTTTACAAAGGAGAGGTTTAACAATATAAGGCACATTTATTAATGGGTCTTTAAAAGTTAAACTAATACTTTGTAACTGATCACATTGAAGAAGATAAGGTTAACAAATTAACTTCTTTGTTGTATTTCAGATTCACACCCTTTCAACATAAGGGTGTGAAAATATATTGCTATTTCTGCCCCCTTCCCCCCAGTATATTGTTATTTGTTTTGTTACGTAAATAATCTGTGTTAAGTCATAGTATACTTTCATTACATTAGGGCTTCTCAACCTTAGCACTGTTGACACTTTGGATTGAATAATTCTCTATTGTGAATGGGTTGTCTTATACATCATAGGATATTTAGCATATCTTGTGCTTCTCTTCACTACATGCCTGTAGCGACGCCCTGTCCGCCTCCATCCACAGAATTGTAACAACCCAAAATGTTTCCAGACATTGTCAAATGTTTCCTGGGCAGCAAAATCACCCTTAATGGATTAGACAGTAGAATTCTGGTAATGAAATCTCATCGGAATATGCATATTGGAAAATATTTAATCTCTCAATTTTCTCTTTATTTTTAATTAATTAATATTCAAGTTAGTGAACATACAGCGTAGTCCTGCCTTCAGGAGTAAACCCCAGTGATTCATCTCTTACAGATGACACCCTGTCCTCATCCCCAAGTATCCTCTTAATGCCCATCAACCATTTAACCCACCCCCCCAACCCCTCCAGCAACCCTCAATTTGTACTCTGTATTTAAAATTCGCTTATGGTTTGCCTCCCTCTCTGTTTTTTTATAGCCCCAATTTAAATATTATTCTTGTTAAAATCATTGGTAAAGCATTTGTAGTCATCTTTTCCTAGCTTCTTGAAATTCAGAAACTTTACTTGGTTTTCAGTGCAGAAAGACCAAGTATTTTTGGAGCATTATTATCAGATTCTTCATCAGAGGTTAGCAGTTTTTCTGCCTAAGTGCAATGAACAGAGAGCTCAGCAGTACTAGAATTGGTGGTAAGACTCTTAGGACACTTGGGCAAATCTCATCCAAGATTCTGTTGCTCAAGTCAAGCTAAAACCAATTCAGAAATTAATGACAGTGTCTGACTGATAAGCTTAAAGCATTAGCAGAAGCATTTAATAGCGAGGAATGAAGCAGTTCTAAAAATTATAAATATAAGTCTAAGATTCTGAAATTGAGTCTAACTTTTAAGTACTAAAAGTTTTTGTACCAAATTTTGTTATTTTATTCAAATTTGGCTTTGAAAAACAGATTTAGGAAGTAAGAATGCTAACACATTTGGGAATTTAGAGTCGATAGGCTAGGAAGGAACATGCAGTCATTATTTGTATGTGGTCTTTGATTCTCCAGATAACGTCTTCCATTTATTGAGTGCTTACCATTGGTAATTTATATGTGTTGTGTATTTAATGACTGTAGAATCATATGATTATAAATCATCATCCTATTTGTTGCTTTTGAGAATTACTGTTAATCTACACTTCAAATAAAATCTTATTATCAAACCTTCAAAGCTTTATTATAGTTTTTGCAATATATTATTATTCCAGATCACCACCTAAAATATAAATTCTGATCTTGAATATTTTTTGTTTGAAATCAAATTGTTTTAGCCTTTTTATTTTTCATTAATAACATGATTTTCTTATTTTTCAAGCAACCATTGTCTTGAAAACTTTAGGGATCTTACTTATTTTCTGAGGCATGAATCTGAATACATTCAAGAGGAAAATATGTACCATTTATTAAGCATATGTGTCTTAAGATTTTGTTCTTATTTCTGTTGATTTTCAATTATTTTGTTTTCTCCTTTGTATTTAGAGAAACTTACGTAGAACAGGAACAGGGAGAAAATGCTAATGACAGAAATGATAGAGCCATTCGAGTAGCAGCAAAATGGTATAATGAACATTTGAAGAAAATGTCAGCAGAGAATCACCTGCAAGTCATCTTCATAACAAATGACAAGAAAAACAAAGAAAAAGCCATAGAAGAAGGAATACCAGCTTTCACTTGTAAGTCTAAATGCAGAAGCTGTTAATTTGTTTTTTAGCTTATTCATTTGTTTTTGAGAGAGAGAGAGAAAGAACATGTCAGTGGAGAAAGGGTGGAGAGACAGGGAGATCCCAGATAGGCTTGGCACTGTCAGTGCAGAGTCCAGTGCAGGGCTCGAACCCAAGAACCGTGAGATCACGACCTGAGCCGAAATCAGGAGTCCAACCCTTAACCACCTGAGCCACTTGGACACCCTGAAGCTGTTAATTTTTATAGGCATTTGCAGTTATGAAGTGACCCTTGGTCAGATGTTCACTTGATATTTAGTATTTTCATGTCCTATATAATTTCATATGATATTTTGCCTTTTTAAATCTCTCAGCATTTCTCAGCCAAGTAAGTTTTGGTGCCCAGTGGTTGTTAATTTCCCCTATCACCCTTTGGACTTGGCTTAGCAATAAAAACTCACATATGTTTGACCTAATACTTCTGCTTAGACATATCAACAGATGCAGGTTAAAAAAAAATTGACAGATATAATATCATAAACAAGATTATTCATGTTTTTTAATAAAAAAATATCACCTGATTTTATTGAGACCAACAAAACTTATTTTTCAGGTGAAGAATATGTAAAGAGCCTAACTGCTAACCCTGAACTCATAGATCGTCTTGCATGCTTGTCTGAAGAAGGGGTATGTCTGAATTGTATTATTTTGTTTTTGAAAAGTGAAAATATTAAAATGGCCACTTTGGGATATTAGATTTATAGTTAATCAAATTTAAAAATTGGAATCTTGGTAGGTAAGCTGGAATTGAATAGGAGTTGGGTTATAAACAACAAGAGTGACTGTAATAGGCTTATTAAAATGCCATTCTTAAAAGACTTCACTTTCTAAAGTAGCATTGCTCATTGATCTACTCTTAGAAACCTGAATAGGACCTGCCACAGGGTGGTACCACTTGTTGGATGAATGTATAAAGGACTCCATAGCTGGTTTGTGAATAAGGTGTAAGTATTTGACAAATAAGGAAGTAGTGTACACTACAGGAAGAAAGTATAAAGCTGTAGCATTAGTCCTGAAGGGAGGAAATCATAAGAGGTAGAACAGGAAGGGTAGGGGCCATCTAATGAAGATCTAGAATTTATTCTGTAGGTCAGTAATTTTTAAACTATCTTACTCTAACGGAATGCTATGAAGAGAAAGATAGCAGATAGGGTTCTGGGCTTCCTACCTCATAAAGGCAGGCTAAAAGAAA